CGTCTTTTACTCACAAAGCTAATTAGGAATAGGATCATACATTTCTTTTCCTTTGTATTTTATTAAAACTTTTAGTCCAGGTAAATTTTTGGTACCTGTGGTTTTCTGATCTCAGTAGTGTAGCATGTAGACCCATTGCTAAGTAATGACTATAAACAACTCCATGCTACTAGGTAACGACCGCGGAATATGCAAATATATGGCAGGCTTTACTGAATGACGGCTTCGCAAGCAAAACTTTTCTCACAGCAACAAGTGAACTAAACAATGAGGAGCTGTTTTCTACATGGTCCGTGCCGAGGTGTGGGCAGGACAGGTCTAGAGTTCTGTGAGTTGGAGTCAATTAGAAGATTAGGAGGTTGGTGTGAGATTGCGGCCAGCCTGGGAGCTAGTGCTGCGGAGTGAAGTGAGTTGGTCGGTGAGTGACTTAGTTGTGAGACATTCGCTAGCCAGTAAGGACATAAACAGAGGACATTGTTATGAGCCATTACCAGGAAATGGCTGGTGAAAACAAACTGAGAAAACTCATTATGTGCTGTAGTGAGAAGACGAGCGAATGAAGTAGCGAGAGTGTTATAATTATTTGTAGTTACGATCTGGAGGTGTTTGGTAAATGCAGTTACCAATCCTAAAGTCTGTTGATAACCACTCAGACACCTGACAACTGGTGTAAGAAGTGGTTGGATAGGAAACTGCATTGGATCATTGTACTGCCATACTATGGAGATGACACCCTGCTGGTCTAAATGAAGGCTGAAATAAGACCAACCAAGCCAAGGTGGACCCCAGCCTAAAGGAAATAAAAGAAGAAATAAGAGCCGGCCAATAAATCCTGAAAGAAGAAACGGTAGCCAAGTTACTCATCACGAAAGGATGATGGCAAGGATGGACTCACAGCAAGACAAAGTGGAGGCTTGTCCAGAAAAGACGAAGGCCACGGATTTGTAGGGAAATCCAGAAGAAGTCCGATTCGGAGCATCAGGAAGTCCCTAAGGAAGAGGCCACGGTGGAAACTATCGTAGCATTGGGGGACCGATATGGGGACCAGCATCTGACTGTAGGACGCCACCGACAGCCGAAGAGACGGACCTAGGGTGACAACATGTCACGGAAGAAGTTGGCTGCCGCCCGCAGACGGATGAACCGCCGTGCCGGAACGTTGGAGAGTAATCACCGTGAGAACCGTTCCATGGGGAAGGAAGGCGAGACCGATGACAGACATCACAAGCAGAGCCTGCGGTAAAGAATAAATGTCGGTACATAGGCTAAGGTAAGGTGCACACCGGCCTGTGTGAAGACATGTAACAGTCAAGACACCCAACACAGTTTAGTCAGAACAAGGAGATGGACTCTTCAGACTGTTCAGATCTTTAGAATTTATGGTGCAAAATTTTTATAGTTGCTACGGCACATCTACTTATGTGTGTCTCATTTCTCCCACATAGCCAGATTTTCATTGAATGCGTAGCAAACATGGGTGAGATGAGAAATGCATTAAAAATGTAGTCATAAAACCTGAAGTGAAGAGATCACTTGAGAGACCTAGACGTGTCTGGTAGGATAATAGAAAAATGGACCACAAAGAAGGTGTGGACAAATTTAGTTTCTTACAACAGGGGCCGTAGGAGGGAAGCTGTAAATATATTGAATAAGCAGCCGACAAGGGGCCTCCAGCTTGGGGTTTGGGCATGGGGCTAACAACTCCCCACCATAAAAATAAATTTGTTACGAAAATTCTGAAGACGCTTTGGACCTGGACGGATACCTTGGATAAACTACCTAAGCTAATAAAAATGGATATGAGATTTGGCACTTGGAATGTACGAAGTTTGTACAGAGCAGGTTTTCTCAGGGCAGTGGTAGAATAAATCTTAAAATATAAGTTAGATTTAGCGGGAGTACAGGAGGTCAGATGGGATAGAGGTGGCATCGCACCAGCAGGAGAATATATATTTTTCTATGGAAAGGGGAATGAAAATCATGAGTTAGGCACAGGTTTCTTTGTACATAAGAGAATCATATCAGCAGTTAAGAAAGTAGAATTCGTTAGTGATAGGATATCATATATAATACTAAAAGGTCGCTGGTGTGATATCATTGTTTTGAATGTTCGCTCGCAAACAGAAGATAAAATTGATGACATAAAGGATATATTATATGAAGAACTAGAACAGGTATTTGATAAATATTTGATAAATTCCCGAAGTACCTTATGGAAATTTTGTTACGAGATTTCAATGCCAAAGTAAGGAGGGAAGACATTTTCGAACCAAAAATTGGGAGTAAGAGTTTGCATGAAATTAGTAATGATGATGGAGTTAGAGTAGAAAATTTTGTCACATCCAGAAATCTTACTGTGAAAAGTACAATGTTCCCACACCGTAACATCCATAAATTTACTTGGACATCTCCTGATGAGAAGATACACAATCAAATAGACCATATCTTGATAGATAGGAGACGGCACTGAAATATACTTGATGTCTGATCATTTAGGGCAGCAGATTGTGATACTGACCATTACCTGGTGGTGACAAAGGTTAGGAAAAGACTGGCAGTGAGCAAACAAACAACACACAGAGTTCATATGGAGAGGTTCAATCTCAAGAAATTAAATGAGGGAGAGGGTAAAGAGCAATATCGTGTTGAAATCTCAAGTAGGTCTGCGGCTTTAAAGCTTGGGAAACTATTAGAGAGAATACCAGAATTTCTGCCAAGGAGAGTCTAGGTTATGAGCTGAAGAAGCATAAGCCATGGTTCGATGAAGGATACTCAGAATTACTAGACCACAGAAAACAAGCCAAATTGCAGTGGTTACAGGATCCAAGTGAAATAAATAGGGATAATCTGAACAATATAAAATGCGAAACAAGCAGGCATTTCAGGAACAAAAAGAGGGAATATCTGAAAGACAAAATTGATGACCTTGCAATGAACAGTAAGAACAAGAACATTAGAGACCTATATAGAGGAATAAATGACTTTAAGAAGGGTTACTAACCTAGAAGTAACTTATTGAAGGATGAGAATGGTGATCTGCTTACAGATTCCCACAACATTTTGAATAGGTGGAAGAACTACATCTCTCAGTTATTGAATGTACATACGATCAGTGATGTTAGGCAGATAGAAATGCACACAGCTGAGCTGTTAATACCTGATCCCAGCCCTTATGAGGTTGAAATTGCAATTGCAAAATTGAAAAGTTATAAATCGCCAGGTAATGTTCAGGTAATGATCAAATTCCAGCAGAACTTGTTCAGACAGGAGGAGAAATATTACATTCTAAGATCTGTAAGCTAATTACTTCTATTTTGGCATAAGGAAAAATTGCCTGGTGAGTGGAAGGAATCTATTGTTGTACCAGTTCACAAGAAGGGTGATAAAACTGACTGTAGTAATTATCAGGGGATATCACTGCTATCAACTTCATACAAAATTTTATCCAGTATATTTCTGTCTCGGTTAAGTCCATACATGGATGAAATTATTGGGGATCATCAGTGTGGGTTTCGACATAACAGATCAATTACAGATTAATCTAGCATTTGCTAGACACTCAACAAATAAAAAAGTGGGGGGAGACAATGAGACAGTACATCAGCTATTCACAGACTTCAAGAAAGCCTATGATTCAGTTAGGAGGGAAGTATTGTACAATATTCTGATAGAGTTTGGGATACCCATGAAACTAACAAAGTTGATTAAAATGTGTTCAAACGAAATTTATAGTAAAGTCCGTATAGGTAAACATTTGTCTGATAAATTTCCTATCAGAATGGTCTAATAAAACAAGGAGATTCTTTATTGCCACTCCTTTTCAACTTTGCCTTAGAATATGCAATTAGGAAGGTCCAGGGAAACCAGGTGGGACTGAAATTAAACGGGACACATCATCAGCTGTTGGTCTACGCTGATAATGTGAATCTACTGCGTGATAATGTAGAAACCATAAGGAAGAACACACAAACTTTAATTGACTCAAGTAGAGAGGTTGGTCTAGAAGTAAACACAGAGAAAATTAAGTATATGTTACTGTCTTGTCACCAAAATGCAGGGCAAAATCATGACATAAAGATAGGAAAACAGATGTTTTGAAAATGTGGCACAGTTCAGATATTTGGGAACAACGATAACAGATGAAAACCTGATTCAAGAGGAAATTAAGAGGCGATTGAACTCGGGTAATGCATGCTACCATTCAGTCCAGAACCTTTTGACTTGTCGTCTTCTGTCCAGAAACATAAAAATTAGAATATACAAAACTATAATTTTGCCCGTGGTTCTGTATGGGTGTGAAACTTGGTTTCTGACATTAAGGGAGGAACATAGACTGAGGGTGTTTGAGAACAGGGTGTTGAGGAGAATATTTGGACCGAAGATGGATGAAGTGACAGGAGGCAGGAGAAAACTGCATAATGAGCTTCATAACTTGTACTCTTCTCCAAGTATAATTAGAATGATCAAGTCAAGGAGGATGAGATAGGCAGGGTATGTAGCATGAAGGGGGCGAAGCGTAATGCATGTAAGGTATTGACGGGAAAGCCGAAAGGAAAGAGACCACTGGGAAGACCAAGGCATAGGTGGGTGGACAACATTAAAATGGATCTTAGAGAGATAGGATGGTATGGATTTGGTTGATCTGGCTCAAGATATGGACCAGTAGAGGGCTCTTCTGAACACTGTAATGAACCTTTGGGTTCCATAAAATTCTGGGAAATTCTTTAGTAGCTACAGATTTGACTTCTCAAGAAGGGCTCAGCTCCGTAAGTAAGTAACTGAAGACCTTGCCGTGAGTGTTTGAGCACCATAAAAGGTGAACTTCTTGTTCAACTGGGGCTTTGGTAGCTTCTCACATAGGAGTCTGCTGCAAGGAGCTAGTTTGTATAAGAAGCAGTTTAAATTATTTGTCTTGTATGTAGTTTTATGCATCTATATTCCTAACTTCAGTTAATGTGGTTCCTCTCAGAACTACAATGTCATTCTCTTTCTTATTTCAGAGTGAAACCAGTGGTGGAATATTAGCAACTCAATGTTGAAATCCTGTTATAGAGCTGTGTCATATTTGGTGAGTACACTAATTGTTTCAGTATATTGACTAGGGCCATAATAGGTGGATCGCTTGCCACCATAGCATGGCGCGTCCTCAGGTTGCGGATGGAGGTGTGAATATATGGTCACGTGTATGAGTGACTCTTGATTGAGATTTGGATAGATACTGGATTTATTGACCTCTTATCCAAACAACTCATCACTACGTGCAACTGTAGTTTTGTCGCTAATTCTCGAACACTGCAGTTAACTGCAGCACATACTAAGTGTTCTCAATCTGCTGTGTCTTTACCAGTTGTTATTCGGTAGCAGCTTGAACGGCAGACGTTCCCACTCCTCTGGGTTCCTGAACTGTCCCCGTGCCTCAGCTACCAGCTTCTTACAGCACAGCCCACAAGGACTGAACTGCAGCAGTCATCTAGCTCACTCACCAACCAACTCACGCCACTCCACTAAGTGAACTGAATGCCACTGTGGACTTGTCCTGCTTATGACATCTCGGCACAGACTGCACAGAAATCGCTGTTTCTTTGTTGCTTATGTGCCCACACAGATAACACCATTCCTCTTGTTTGCTGACTGCTGCCTTGCACCTGCCATTGTCTTGTTGTTTGTTTCACGGTCATTGCCTTTGAACGGGTTTATATGCCACAGTATTGAATAAGCAGTCACGGATAGCCCACAAGGGATGGTCCTCCAGCTTGGGGGTTGGGCATGGGGTTAACTCACAGTAAAAATAAGTTTCTTACAACATGTCACAAAGAGCATCAGACATGGATGGATTATTTGGATAAACGTTATGAGCTAAGGAAACTTAACATGAGATTTGGTATGTGGAATGTAAGGAGTCCATATAGAACAGGTTCGCTCCTGACATCTACGAAAGAACTATCAAAATACAAGTAGGATTTAGTGAGAGTACAGGAGGTCAAATGGGACAGAGGTGGCACCGAACCAGCAGGCAAATATACATTTTATCTTCCATCTGTTACCTATAAGTATAAAAATTAAATTATACAAGTCTCTAATTTTGCTTCTTGTTTTCTCACGCTATGAGAAGAATGCAAATTGAGGGTGTTTCAAAACATGAATGTAAGGAAAATATTAGGATCTAAGGGGAAGGAAGAGCAGCAGACTGCAGATAATTGTGTAGTGAGGAACTTTGTAATATGACTTCTTCACCAAATATTACTAGGGTGAACAAATCCAAGGGAATGAGATGGCCGGAGCTTGTAGCACAGATGTGAGAGATGAAGAGATGAGAGGTGAATGGCGGATTTTCTTTTGGAAACCTCATGGAATGATACTACTTTGGGACCTGGACATGAGTGGGAGGGTAATAATAAAACGGATGAGAACTGGATTTATGTGACCCAGGATAGGACCCAGCCACATCCTCTTATGAACTATGTAGTGAATATTTGGGTTATAAAAAGTATGGGGAATTTCTTAACTATCAGAGTGATCCGTAGCTTTTGAAGAAGTGCTTTGGTCAGCAGAGTTATTCACTTATATTTTTAGAAGTATTTGGGAAATTGTAAAGTAAATTCACAAATGCATACTTACTAGAGTCTCATGCGTTTGTTTAGTATGACTTGCGTTTAAATGCTCTTGAATAAAGGTTTCAGGGCAGTAGGTTGTGGGATAATGATCTGTACACATTTTCTTGCTTTATCTGGCATATAATCTATTTCACAAAACAACTGAATCTTGGTAACATCTTATGGCTGTTGAGAAATTATGATATTAATCTGTTGTGTTACATAAATGTAGTATATTTAGATTAGTTGAAACAGTTTCTTTATGTTCTTACATTAGTTTCAATATGGAACTTGTAAAAAATAACTTGTGTCCTTAATGGGTCATTAGATTCTTTATATTTATTGAAGAGTTCAGGCTATCATGACATTTCAGGGTCAATATAGACCCTGTTGTTGGTCGATGACACAATAGAAATAGACTGTGTTGCCATTGTTTCTGATATCCTTGCTCGGTTTGTTTTCATGACTGGTGAGAGTTGTGGATCTGTACTGTAGGTATCAAGAAAGTATCTGAAACGTAGAAATATAACGTACATCTACACAATGTCATCACATCCAGACAGAGTATTTATTTTTCATATATGTTAAAATATTTGGATCTTCTAATATCCTCTTTGTTCATCAAGTACCAAATACATATGTATTGTTTCTTAATTTTGTGGTATTTAATGAAACATAGTGAACTTCATAGTCCATATGATATCATCGCGGAAGAATTACCATGAATATCAAATTTAAAAATATGTAGGACTCACTCATGGTTTGCTTTAAACTTGATTGCCTGGGAATGTGGGATTTTAAATTCCTCAATTCCAGGGGACCAACGGCGGGATTTTAACCCTTTAAAGCACAGTGGTTACTGTCTGTACCAATTGCTTTGATATTTAGAAACCTAAATTATGTGTATTACTTACTTACTTACTTACTTACTCACTTATTCACTCACTCACTCACTCACTCACTCACTCACTCACTCACTCACTCACTCACTCACTCACTCACTCACTCACTCACTCACTCACTCACTCACTCACTCACTCACTCACTCACTCACTCACTCACTCACTCACTCACTCACTCACTCACTCACTCACTCACTCACTCACTCACTCACTCACTCACTCACTCACTCACTCACTCACTCACTCACTCACTCACTCACTCACTCACTCACTCACTCACTCACTCACTCACTCACTCACTCACTCACTCACTCACTCACTCACTCACTCACTCACTCACTCACTCACTCACTCACTCACTCACTCACTCACTCACTCACTCACTCACTCACTCACTCACTCACTCACTCACTCACTCACTCACTCACTCACTCACTCACTCACTCACTCACTCACTCACTCACTCACTCACTCACTCACTCACTCACTCACTCACTCACTCACTCACTCACTCACTCACTCACTCACTCACTCACTCACTCACTCACTCACTCACTCACTCACTCACTCACTCACTCACNAACGACAACAACAGCAGCAGCAGCAGCAGCAGCAGCAGCAGCAGCAGCGATTTTTTCCATAAACATGATTAGCCGATTGGTCGTTGTAATGAAAACTTAATGTTTTCTATGAGATATAAACTTAATAAACTTATGTATTATTTTTATTAATTTCGGGCTTCGGACAGTTAACTCGGGGGAGGGGCGGGTGACGATATTAGTACTGAAAGAATGGGACGCTGGGCCAACTGGGCCGCACATGCGCTCCTGGCATAGTGCAACGCAAGCCCCAGAAAGGTTAAGGTTACCATCCCGCCATGTGCTTGGAAGGTCTTAGGAAAGCCATGAAGAACCTTAGAATAACCACCAGTCTGTGGACTGAGATGAAACTTGGGATCGCTTCAGTGTAGAGCAGGAGTGCTCGGCTCATATGTTCAATTAAAAGGGAATTGATATGCGGGAAAATTTATACAGATGCACATTTTGATCTTATGGGTAATCTTACGTTCATTTGAAATTCAGTGAGAAGGCACATTTATTATATAAACTACAAGTAGAAGTATCCCTTCTGAGCCCCGAAAGTAATTGTCTTCTTTGTCAGTGTCAGATATATATAAAGTAAATTAAAAGTTGTAAGATTTGAGGCTTTCACGGCGGTGACTATGAAGAAAGTAGTCTTCTGGGATTTGGCACCGTGTATATGTGGTGTTAACCGACGTTTCGGAGGAACGTATCGCCTGCATCTTCAGGGTAGAAGAAAAAATATAAGAAATATGCAAGCGAAGAGACCGTAAGAACCGGTAAAAGCAGTCTGTGTCACCACAGGCGATACGTTCCTCCGAAACGTCGGTTAACACCACATATACACGGTGCCAAATCCCAGAAGACTACTTTCTTCATAGTCACCGCCGTGAAAGCCTCAAATCTTACANTTAATTTAAAATTTAGCGACAATTGAAATCGGCTCCAGAAACTCTGCCGTAGTACCTACAGATCGCTGCAACAGCTGTGGCTACCGCTCATGTTGGGAAGAGTACGGAATAGGCTCACATTTCATGTCGATAGGTGCTCTGTATTTTATCCGCTGTGGAAAATAAACAAGCAGGATATAGAAAAATTACGTTTTTATATATACTACATGTTGTTTTTAACAGATTCAAGAAGTTCAATTATAATATTAGATTTCAAACGACAACACAAAGGAATAAAAAGGCGAGACCACATTCAGACAGGCATGCATAGGATGGACATGCGCTTTCGCAGTTTAGCCTCACAGATAAATATCGGCCATGACTTTTTTCGTGCTTGCGTTGGACCGTCTTCTGTTACACCTTTAATACTTCACCCCCTTAATGGCCTCATAAAAGAAGCACGTTTAATTGTTATTTTTTTGATCGGTGGACATAGTGGCACTAGTGCAGATTTTTCTCCGAGCATTGCGGCGTTTTCCTACAGACCGAAACTGATATACAAATGCAGTTATCACAGGCATAATCAAACGATGCCGAGATATGGTGAAGTGCAGGTGATAAGTGGAGTAGGACGATTGTGGTGGTTTCAAGCAATGCCATATCTTGACAGGATGTGAATAAAAATGTAATATGTCCAACGTACATATATGAACATTTGTGTTATTGTTACTTCTTCAGATCGGTTTTCGTTGCAGCAGTAATGCGACAAGCGATACATTCAAGCAGAATACCTGAACATTGAAATACGAGGAGCAGATTAATATAAATTCATAGTATCATTTAGGGCCGCGCCATAGCTCAAGCGGTTAGTCGCTGGTTTCCCACCGCGGCGGCCCGGGTTCGATCCCGGCTCTGGTCAAGTGGGATTTGTGGTGGACAAAGTGGCGCTGGGGCAGGTTTTCTCTGAGTACTTGGGTTTCCCCTGCCAATCTTCAATCCACCAATTGCTCCAAAATCACCCTCACCTATCATCTGGGGCTGATACAATAGGCCAGAAGTGGCCGCAGTACAAGGGACTTAGTCCCACCCCACTAGCAATAAA